ACCACCACCTCTCTACCTGGTGCAACAACTCAGCAAGCGCCTCACATGAGTGCTACAGGTTAGTAATGCACACCCAATGTGCCGCTGTGAGAATAAGCAAAGTTAGAACTGGCAGACCGTGGACAAATTCACAGCTACTGCTGAGTACACGGTCGCGGTTGTGCTGTGGCGACTCGCCGTTGCTTCTTTGAGTTTGTGCCGCGTGTTATTCGTGCGTGATAATCCAGCATTGCACACCACGTGCCAGGCAGGAGCTTCTTGAGAACCACACGCGGCACAACGCGAACCAATTACCAACAAAACCGCTATTCGCCACTAAGTGACGGTGGCGTCACGATGGCGCCTGTGCCAGGCTAGGTGCACTTTGAGGCCACGTGAAGTGTCGAAGGCTCGTTGACAGGACAGACCCACGTGCCTTGGGTTGGCTGAGATGACTGGTAGATGCAATAGCTGTACTTCCTACTATGCCAACTTGCTGAATTTTTATCCGCCCGGCACTCCGCTCGTTGTTGTGAGCGTCGCTCCTCTGCTCTCCGTTGTTGTTGGAGGGCGACTGCCTCCAACTGCCCAGCAGTATCCTTCACGAGCCTCCTCCATAGATCTTGACACCGCTGGTACCGGTCATCGGCAAGTCCATTCTGAAGCTAATCCGCGGCGCAACGCGAACACACACACACGTTGTGGAAGATCCACAGCTGTCCCAGTTAGTTCCTTCTAGCACTGTCTATGAGCACTGTTGAGCGTTAGATCGCAGCCCAAACCCGGTCAGTAATTGCTATCCACTGCAGTCAGCAGGAGAGCCGGTTCTGGTGTGAAGGGGGGGGGGGAAACCCCCCACACAGCTTTACCAAAGTCAAAATCGCTCGCTCCTTAATACAATAACACGGCGGTGCGGCAGAAAGCGCTCAAAGTGAGAAATACGGAATGAGGTCCATTTGAACATCCTGACGCAAAATGTGAAACAATTTCAAACTATTTTATCGTTCTCATATTGGGGAATATAGGGACATATATAGATATATTTGGATTTCCATCTCTTTCTTATTTAAATATATATTTTAAAAAATACAACATACTATCAAGTATGCAACAATCGATTCCCACCCCCGTACTTAAAAGTTCCCTACAGTTATCCTATCAATCAGATGATAACTAGAAAGTATGGGCATATACAATTAAAATGACTGGCATATTGGTACAATTAAAGGAACCGTTCATAAATTCACAAATCAAATAGAGTATGTACCTCTAAAGATATACAAAATACGTTGGGTTAATATAATCGTCTGGGTATGTCTTTCCAATACGAAGTAACAAAGGGTAATTTCCCTGCTAATCTTTTTTTTAATAAAAAAAAGTTTTAGGGAGCTTACATATAAATCCGTTGTTTACCTATTGGGTAAAGTTTAAAAAGGCTACAAAGGTAGATGGGTCATCCTAGTTAATGTTTGCCAGGCTGGAGTCTACACACACTCATCAGGGACCATTGTTTGAAGCTTCTGAATTGATAACAGATTATATTATCCAAATGTGGTCCTTGTAGCTTAGGCCGCGAGTTGAGTACATTCTGGGCTTAATTTATCAACTTTTTTTTACATTTAGAAACATTCGTTTAGAGTATTTGGTTGATATTCATTTCCATGTGACAAACCGCTTGGTTGAGCTATCGTTTACGGCCAGGTCGCTTCTAAAACACAGTTCTACATAGCTCGTTGGGCCTTACCTGGTAAAATAAAGTAAAAAATGTGTCACTCGATTTCTTCCGGAACGCCATCAGGTTACTTTAGAGTAATGCATTATTGGCGCAAAATACTCTTAGTAGTGTCCTCAAGTACATCTGGTAACCGTAAGCACTAATCACACCATCGCAGTATCGTGCGGACCAAAAAAGGCGAGACGGATGTAACGTGTCAAAATAATTTCCCGCATGGTGTTCAGGACTGTTCGGGTTGAAATTAGCCACGGAGAATGTCGCCCCACAAGAGCGCGTGGCAAAAAGCTTGCGGGACGATACCCTCAACACACAGCCCGAAACCGGAGCGAACCACACTTGATTTACGAGTGGCTATGAAAGCCTATGTGCTAAATGAACAACAAAAAATATATTTCGATTGAAAGCTTTCGTGACTGCAAGGATTCATCTTCTTTGGTTCTTTCGGTAAAGTCACGTAGAACTGTCCTGTTTCTTCACCTGAGGACGGCTACTTGTGTTGTGGCCGAAACGTCGTGAGAATTTTATTGTTTTATTTTATTATGTTATTCTCATTCTACGTGACTTTACCGAAAGAACCAAAGAAGAGGAAAAAAACAAAAAAATAGTCCAACGAAAATGCCTTGATGTGGAGCAAAAGGTGTTATGGACTCGTCCCAACAATGGAGTCTGCACAACGGCCGTAAGCATGGATTTCTACACTTTGCATCGCGCTTTGCGAACGCACATGGAACACATACTAAGAACCTGCCAAACGTTGTTCTCCACTCCAGATACGAGGGAGGGGGGAACACACGAGTGTTGCCTTGACAGAAGAACTCCGCTTGGATATTGTATTTGTTCATAATAAAGCCTACGTGTTAAACTGAATATTGTATTTGTGGCGAGTGTTGTAGTCGAGGCTGCTGAACCTCAGGGTTGTGCACCGTTCGCCAGTAGCTGTTTGAATGAGAAACCCAGAACGAAAGATTAAGCAAGCAGTGTACTGTAGCCCAGCTCTTGCTACTAGGCTACACAACAAGCCACATCGATAGTACCTCACTGAGCGGAACTGCACTCAGTGCTATGGAAAGACACTATGCGTATACGCAACTGTACTTTGAAAGGGGGTAAGATAGTGATTTTTCATTTCACGTTACTTACATTTGTAATCACTGAAACAAAAGATGTTTTTATTGCCACGTGGGTTTTGTTGACGAACAAAAGACACGCGTGCCCATTACTGAATACAATTCAATTCAGCTAGGCTGAGGCACTGTATTTTTGCTTTTATTTGGTAAGTGCTGAACCCAATGTGAGGAGTTGCCAAAAATCACAAAAAACAAGTGCTCTTGAGGGTAGCTGGCTGCAATAAAACGTACAAAACAATTACTCTATGCTTTTTCATATACGCTACTGCACGTGTCAATAACAGGGTTTCGATATATTTTTTCTGATCTCATTTTCTCTCTCTCTAATTTATCGTTGTACATGTTTACGAGCATTTAAATTTGGCCAATTGAACCTTATGGCGGTACCTCGCATAATTTCCGTGATGCAGTAATTTTTAATCTGATGGTCGACGATGCGGCAATCGATTAATCTCGACGAGCTGTACACGATGCACACTATTCAAAGTTGCATTTTTCGATAACGGATTTTTTAATGCTGTTTGGCGTTTCGACATCGCGGAGTGTGGCACTGATTTCGGATTGATTGGTACACCAGTCCCGGAGTTAAGTACACCAGTCCCGGAGTTAAGTACACCCCTGCAAAAAATAGTGTCCCAGAAATAAAATATTTAATTGCCTCGGCTATTTTGTATGATTTGGTACCCCGGGGTACCGGCATCAGGATCAATCGTTGCACGTACATCATTGACGCACGCGCATTTCACCCATTCGTGCCAGGCCGGCTTGTTGGCGTGTATGTGTGTGATGATGATGATGAGGTAAGACACGTTCGACAAGGTGTGAATGTTTCACAATTACTCCAGAATTTCAGTGAGGCAGGGTAATTAATTCACCAGTACCATCTCAACTTTACCCTTTGCACAGATGTGCAGTTGAGGAGGGGGGGGGGGAGAAGTAAAACATTATTATTGTTTTGTTTTAAGTGCCTGTACACAAAAAAGGACAAAATTATAAATATTCTTTGAACAAACCAAAAAATGTACTTGTTCCTAATGTGGCGATTCATGCCCACAATGTGTTTTTTTTCTGAAACCACAGGCTAATGCGTCGAATATATCAGCCGTATCAGGCTCATAAGGTATCTTCAGTTACAAACAGGTAATAATGCAAGACATTCACGTCCGTATTAGTAACATCAACAAAACTTCCGCAATTTCCAAATTAATGCCATATTAACGTGACTCGTGTGATGTTTAGAGTGTAGTGCCTACTCTGTGTTCTGTAAAGCATGCCAATAACATATGAATCGGATTTTTTTTGAAGACTCGAGGCAATGTTGAGAGCGTCCGTCGTTTCACGGACGCGTTTAAAAAAACAACAACATATACCAACTTAGGTGTTGATAGGGCTACGACCTGTAGCTATAGGATGCAACCAGCAGTACACTTGTACGCAGAGAGATGACCGGATAGAGCGCATATATCGACGTAAGTGTGCGCAAAAGCAGATTTGTGCAAAGCTCTTTCGCGCCAAGTGTGCGCGTATAACAACCTCCGTCTTTACGAGAGAGCTCATGGATCGTGGACTTTGATGGCAAAGTTGCACGCGCAGACAGGCACGTTGCAATCCGGATTACGGGCTGCCTAACCTCACCTCTGAATGCCGATTCTACAGGTCCTGGCTACGCTCGAGTTATATACTGCAACTAATAAACTGTACATAGCTATAGAAATCTGCTGTAGTATAAAAAAATAAAACGGACTACACAGTGTCTATTTTTGAATGAGGCCATCACAGTTAAAATGGGCATATCTTCAAAAATAAAATCGAGAAAATATGCAAACGTTATAGAATACCTCTATGCATAAATACTTAAGGCTTATTTCCTTCATTTTAATGGCTATGATGAATATAGACTTTTTTTGCAAAAGTAACAAATCTGATGTTTTAATGCCAACTCTCTCAACTCGTTAGTGTAAACGGCAGTGAAATGTGTTTCTCTCTCTCTCTCTCACATCCTCCTCATTGCTCCTATGCATTGAGAGCGGTTGTTGTTATTTTCCTTCAAGGTATCAATTCTGACTTGAAACATTTGTGATTTCATCGCACCCAGGAATCGTCGTCCATCGATCGGCACAACCTGTTTAGACAGGTGCCCCCCCCCCATGCCCCCCCCCACCCCCCATGGCACACCGCGGCTCCCCGAGTGACGATGCTCAGCCATGGATCTGGTTACGCCACCGTGGTTGCCGCAATTTTAACCAACGTTCACTTTTCCGTTGCTGCTGGAGCAACAACAGTTTACGTAAACAACATGCGTGTTGTGTATGGGTTGGGATCCCAGACGTCCCCCAATATTGTCTCCATTGTGTATTTGGTGTGCAAAACCTATCAGTTTAAATCACGCGAAAAATTGTGATGCTGCGTTGGCAGGAGTGCACAAAGCACAAATAACAACTGGATACATTCGGCCAATAACACTGCCCAAAAGGAGATTTTTTTGTTAAATTAAATAATCGACGTTTTGGGCAATGGCCCTTCTTCATAGCAGCAGGCGCCATGAACCCACAACGTCAACTAGTATACAAAGTTTCCCTCTTCAGGGCAGATTATTGATCAACGTGTCGATAAAGATTCTAGCTGGACTCCTTCAACGCCATCCACTTACTGCTCAGTCAAAAGCAAATCAGTTACCTCTAAGGAAAGTCTACACGCTGTTGGCCGAGTGTCGTGCTGACAGAAGTACAAATGCCACTTTTTGATGGATTTCGGAAGAGTCGTTACGTTTAACCAATACGCTGTTATCCTCCTCGCATGTAAAGGTAACAAACTAAGTGCCAAATTGTTTTACTAAATATTTTAAGGATACAATTAAAATGTTAAAATGTTAAACATGTACAGGTGTAGTTAAGTGCTTACTATTAGATCATCTGCATCCCAGACTGCGGTAATAAAGCAAGTGCGCATTGCCTGAACCAGCCCACTGTGTCACTTGACGGCCACGCTATTCGACTGGAACGTCGTCGTCGTAAAAACACAGGCGCCTAACTGCCGCTGTGACCAAAACCTGACGCCAATAAAACTCTCCTTGGAAAAAGCAGTGCATCAAACGTACCTGGATCACATGGCAGCTTAACACATACAAGATGTAAAAACCCAACAACAAAAATTACATCACGGAATAAGAAAAAATAATAATAAGATCCGAGGGAGAATATGTCTTGGCAAATGTTGGCGAGGCGCGGCGGCGGCGGCGGCGGCGGCGCCCCCTCCGTGTGACTCTCGTTCGGGTAACGCAAGAGGGGGCCGTGGGGGCTGGGGGAGGTTTTTGACAATTGGCACAGCGCTCCTTCTTGGCCCCCAGCGAGTAGCACACCCATCCACACAGCGCAGAGGACGGAGAGTGCCCTTATCCCCCACCCTCCATCTCTGCCCCCCCTCTCTCCGCTTACCGGCACAACTCCTGTGTCTTTCTAACAGTCTTTTGAGCCACGTTGGTGGCTAAGCAGCAGCAAACATGGTTATTAACAATACATTTCAAATATGAAACATAAAAAAAACCTTTTAAAAGTTCGCAATGTACAATAATTCACCCAATAACACTGTCCTGTCCCCAAGTAACAGTTACAGGGCTTCCCCCCCCCCCCCCTATGAATTGCTCCGATCTTAACGGTATTTTGTCAAGTGCCCGCATTCTTCAGGTATTTTTTTAATTAATGCCTAGTTTCAAGCAATCCATGCCACGCTGCGCCGACTCAGATTCTGAAATGACGAGAGGCATTTCGATTTTTGTGGGTTTTGAATCAAATATCTTTGGCTTAATGTAGTCAGGATTTTATAAATGTGTGTCATGGGTATACACTACGGTATGTCCAGTGAGTGTAATCGTCGAAAGTATGAATTTGGGGATAAGCATGTCATGCATTTAACCAAAGGTAAAACTAAATCTGAGGATGCTACCGCAGTGTAACGGTTAGCAACCCAGAGGTCAAGGCTTGATTAGATTTCCCAACGTGGCAGTTGAACGAACCGATAGGGAGTTTCTTAAGTCTACCCTCCGTTCGTGAAGCACTATAAATGGGTAGATCACAGTTCGTCAACCAGCAGGCCGTGTGTGATCGGGTAAAGTTTCAGTACTTCCACGACTTCCAAAACGCCTGGCCAGTGAGGAAATGTAGACCAAATACCCTCTGAAGGGGATCTCAAAAGCTCCATTTAGTGTAGCCTCTATTGGAAGCCTTTTGGCCAGTAAAGAAGCGAGCAAAGCAATGAATGGCTGCACTATCAAATTCACTTTTACAACCAAAAAAAAACCTACAAAAAATAAATGTTACCGAATCAAAACAGCTGAGTCCCCACAAGGCGTTGTATGGATTGCTCTGTTGCATTGTCAGTCATGATCACACACAATGCCTACGAATCATCCCCAAGGCATTTTCAAAACTGTTGTGACGACTTTCATAGCAAAGACCTTGCTTTGGGTAAAGCAAAAGTCAAACACTGTAAACAACATGCCGCTTCAAGAGAACGCAATGAGGCCAGGATGGAGATTAAACTCTTGAGCAGACAGTTAGATGAAGTGTGCTTCAAAAGGCCACGCGAGAGCACAACACCGACACAAAAGAATAGTCAAGGCACTAACGGGACTATTCCCACAGACGTCCCAACCTTAAGGCGTTTGTTATGCCACGTGCTTCACATTCACACATTGGACATCATCACCATTTGACATAAGGAGATAAGAAATACCTTACAGACTTTGGAAAGGAAAACCTGGCATCATGCACTATTTGCCAAATTGCTATATAGCGTTTTAATGCTTTACTGATAACTCATTATTACTATAATTACCACTTCGTACGTTTTCACGGTTGTGCTGTCATCACTCTCCGATGTGTTGTTAGGGTTGTACCCCATGTTTGTTCGGCTCGATCTCGGACGTTTGGAAGCTTCGTCAGGAACTTTGAGACATTATGCCGGACAGAACGTGGTACAACCCAAAGGTGCACGGGAAGACATCGTAATTTTACATCGTGTGTGGATTTAAGTGCCTCTGTTAAAGCAGTCGGAAAAAAAACCCCACCCAAAATCACGAGTTGTGTAATTTAAGTTTGCAAAAAATATATAACTTTAACACTTTCTTTGATAGATAGGGGGAACATGATTCTGGCCAATGCTATTTGGCATTTATATATTTTTTATGCTGAATCAGTTAAGGATTAAATTAATACTTTCCACATTTCCAAAGTCTGTAATAACTTAGGTAGGCACAGACTTAATAAATGCTTTATCACACTGTCTGTAAAGTGACATTACAGGTGTCTTAATAAAATGCCCATCGACAGTAAGGCAAGAATAAAGGGCGCCCAACAGGTGCATACTAAAGTGCCTCAATAACCAGGCCACCATCAAACGCACTTAAATAGTGAAATCGGCAGAGTAATATAAGTCAGTGGGACCACCAACTTCCCTTTACGTACATTTGCTTACAAATTGAGTAACTGCGGGTACTAAGCTGACAAGAACAACACATGCTTAAGTGAAATACGCAATGGCACTCTTTCTTCAAATATAAATGGAATTCTTTTAAAATGTGAGCGAGTTAAATGCCGTCAGAGCAAGTTAGCGGTTCCACAGATTGCTATTGGCCCTGAAAAACAAGCATGCAGAGCAGGGCAGTGACAATAGCTCCAGCACGACCCTCACACTACTGGAAGGCCTGGTGGAAGCGTGGCAGTGACGGCGTGCCGACGCTTGAGGTATAGGGAGGAACCATGGGGTGCATGTGCCCCATGTTCAGGCCACCGCCGACCCCCTGCTGGCTCGGCTCCAGCGAGTCCTGCTCCAGCGCGCCACCCATGTGGCCTTGGTCCTCTCCCGCCAGGTAGCCCCCTCCACCGTCGCCGGTGGTCTCGCCCATGTCATCGCCGGCTGGCTGGGCGGGCCCCGGGAGACTCAGCGGCAGGAAGCTGAGCAGCTGCGAAAGGTCTACGCCGGCGGCGCTAAGCGTCTCGGCCATGGCGGCACTCTCCTTCTGCAGCAGCGGGTCAGACGAGCCGTCATCCATCGCGCCACCTGTGTTGTGGGCCGACGGTGATTGCTGCTGCTGCTGGTGCTGCTGGTGCTGCTGCTGCTGGTGGTGCTGCTGCTGCTGGTGCTGCTGGTGCTGCTGTGAGAGGCGCTTGGCCTCGTCACTGCAAAATGAGGTAGATCCCAGCTGATACTTCTGCGTCGGCAACTCGTGGGGCAATGTCAACGGCAATCCGTGCACGTGCTGCGGCGTCGAGGAATGGATGGGCGACGAAACGGGTTCCATGCAGCCCAATGGCAAGCTGAGCGGATTGTGGTGCTGCTGGTGTTGGGGTTGATGCTGCTGGTGGTGGTGATGGTGGTGGTGGTGGGGGGAGAGAGGCGGCAACGACGCCCCTACTTGCGAATACACATTCATAACCGGCATGGCCTGCAAAAAGGCTTGGGTGGACTGCGCCAGCATGCCCCCGTAGTCTTCCCGCACATGCTGATGATGATGATGGTGGTGGTGCGGCTGCTGCTGCTGCTGCTGCTGCAGCGATCCCACACCCAGCATGCCCAATATTTCCTGGTGCGTTTCCATCCGGCCCTTGAGCACCTCCTGCCCGTGGCTCTTCTTGGCGTGCCTCGTCAGGTGGTCCTTGCGCCCGAAGCGCTGGGAGCAGAACTGGCAGACAAAGTCCTTGCGCCCCGTGTGCACCACCATGTGGCGGCGCACGTCCTTGCGCGTGTAGAAGCGCCGCTCGCACTGCTCGCACGTGTGCCGCTTCTCCTTGAGGCCCGCCGACGGCTTGCTGGCGTGCGTCTTGAGGTGCTCCAGGAGCGTCGGCGTGCTCTCCAGCTGCGCCGAACAAACGCGGCACGTGAGGTCGCCGCTGGCGGCCGCGTGCAGCGCCACGTGCCGCCTGAAGCCCAGCTTGGTGTTGTACTTCTTGCCGCACTCCTCGCACTTGTAGGCCAGCTTGTTGGGGTTGTGCGTCTGCAGGTGGTTTTTGAGGTGGTCTTTGCGGTGGAACATCTTCTCGCAGTGCGGGCACTTGTGGGTCTTCTGCGGGGAGTGGGTGGCCACGTGCCTTGGGGTGGGGAGCAGAGACGTGCAAAATGTAAGTACGTAAAAGCTTTATCAATAATATTTGATTTACATTTCGCCAAGTACAGCCAAACAGTTAATTATGAATCCCAAAATTGACTGCAAAAGTGAAATATAAAAGCTTACATAATAATAAGTAAACATTAATGTATGCATGCTTATTCAATTAGGCTAGCAACCCGCATATGAAGGCAACAACTAACAAACACTATTTAAATGATTGCATTAAACAAAAAATCTTGCACATACTTTCCAACACAATGCGTTTGTGCCCTGAAACATCAAGTTGTAATGACGTTACCTTCAGAGCTGCACAACCAGATAACGCCACACTCAATGATGTCATCACATGGCGTGTGAAGTCATCACCTTGGCAGAAAAAACTTTTTACTCAGTGTTAGCTTTTCAATCGCCAAATGTTGCCAACGTTTCAAATAATTTGGTCGGTTTTCTCCAGCGTAAACCCTAAAAGTAACACAAGTTGAAACTGTCATTTAATTTTATATTAGGTCATCTCGTATGAACGTTATCGTGGCCCCTCACACGCCGCTAGACAGGGACAATGTATGAATGCTTTCAACCTTAAGTTGGCTTCAATATTCCTAATTTATTTACTTCCTCATATTTAACATTTCTTCTGCATTATACAGCACAATCAGTCATTCAAAAACTGTAAATTCACCAGAGATTGCACATTTTACCTTTCCTATGTTAGTAAAAAGACAACGCATGACACAAAATGCGGTAAACGCAAAAAATCGGGAGCTTGCGGCAAAGAACGGTCAGTCTAATTACGGGAGCACTACTCTCCTTTTCCCATTCCTTTCTATTGCTCTCATTGGTGATGCTGTGGCTAGGAGATGTTAACTCCCTCGCCTGATATGCAGTAGGTCGTGGGTTTGATCCCGACCCTGACGCCTGCTGCTGTAATATTTGGAGTTTGTATATTCTCCCCGTGGGCGTGTCCATTCTTCTCCGGGTTCTCCAGTTTGACCCTCTATATTTAGAATCGTGTAGTCAGAGTATTTGCTTGCTTTAAATTTCCACATAAGCCACTTCATTGAGCTATCATTTGTAGCCAGATTGCGTCTGAAAAAGAGTTAAATAGTGGGCCTTACCTGGTAAAATAAAAAAATAGTTTAGTTTTTTAGTTTATTGCTTCCTAGATCATGATGAAGAGCGCCTATTGTCACATTTGGTCATGCCGGTTACCTGGATGCCATGAACCCTGGTTCTGTGCTTTCAAATATTTGTTGTCGTTGCATACATGGAGAGTACGTACGGATGTATGCTGAACTTCTTTCGCACCATAAGTAGCCAATCGTGCTAATCGGAGGTGCGGGGGAAGAACAAACTAAAAAATAAGTTCTAAAGAAATGAGTTCTAAACAAATAATCGGAGGTGCGGATTTGTTACGCAAGGAAAAGATAAAACATGAGCAAAAAAGCATCGGAGCACCTGAGCAGCTTGTACTTGGAGACGAAGGCTTTGGAGCAGCCCTCTATGGAACACTTGTAGGGCCGCTCGCCCGTGTGCGAGTACGAGTGCACCTTGAGCTTCTCCACGCTGATGAACACCTTGCCGCACGCGCTACACGGGAAGGCTCGCCGCGGCCGGCCCTCCCGACCCCGCCGGCGCGACGACAGGAGAGGGCCCGGGCCCTCCCGCTTGACGGCGCGCAGTCGGGGCGGGCTGCCCACGGCGGCGGCGGCGTCGCCGGCGTCAGCGGGCCCACCGCCTGGCACGCGCACGCGCTCCGCCTGCGCACAGCACCACCCACCCCCACCACCCACGCACGCACACCAAAGGCGGTCAATGCCCTTCGCCCGTCCGGCCGCCTTCAAAGTGAAAACGCTTCGCGGGTACGCAGATGCACGAGCGTTGCAACAGTTGACGGAAAATGTGTGTGGTGGGAGAAGGGGAGGGTGGTGGTTTGTTTGTTTATCAACGTCGCGCAATGAGACGAACAATCAATTCGGAAGTCTCGCAGGGCAGCGCATCGCTGGTGCGATAGGGGACGGGCCATGGAAGTAAATCTCAGAGCTTTACATCTGACATCTCTTCAAGTGACCTCTGCTCCACATGGTAGAGGGCAGCAATTTTTTCAATGTGGAGGTTTTTTAAAAAAAACAAAAAATCTGACACCACAGCTATGCAAGGAGGACGATGAAACGATAATAAAAAAAATACATTGTACCGAATACCACGTATACGACACATTACCGAGAGCCCGGAGCTGTCTGTTGAACTTTTGAGTGATTGAGGTGTGTATATTGGCAATGCATGAACGTGAATGGGAGCGGCCCAACCTTTAGTCCAAAAGTGCTTAGCTCCTCCACCGCAGGTGGCTGGTGGATCAGCAGGGCCTGCTGCTCGAGCAACGAGCAAAGCAGCGCCTGCTGTCCGCCAGAAGTTGGGCCTGGGCCGCCGACTTCAATCTGCCCCACGTCGCCCAGCCGGCCCGGCCCTTGCCTGTCCGCCCCCGGGGGGTGCACCATCTGATTCGGTAGTAGCGTTAACCCGGCAGGGCTGCAGTCGCCCTTCGGCTCTTCGTTGGCGAGGTGCCCCTCCGCTCGACGACCCACCGCCGCCCTCTGCTTGCCTTTTTGCCGTCCGCGACCTTTGCCGCCGCCAGGAGTTTTCCTCCGAGCCAAAGTCAGTTGCGCCTCCAGCTCCGGTTGAGTCTGGTGGCCCGAAACGAGTGCTTGCTTGCCTTCATCCAGATCCAGCACTCGCGCGGGATCAAGATCGGAGTCATCGTGGCTGCTGCAGTGGTGCGACTCCAGCAGGGAGAAAGTGCTGAACACGTTGCTGCAGTTGGAACACTTCCAGGGGTCAGGGGTTTCTGGCTGCAAAGGAACGACGCTAGCGTCACTTGCGCGCACGCACGGCCCGTTTGCACGGCGTTGAGAAAACCTAAATCACGTCAATTCAGGGTAATAGCTTTCATGGGCTCGTTTCTGAAATGCTCCAACCTTCACAGGTTGGGAACTAGTGCCCTAGACATATAGCAGTGCCAAGTCTGCAAAATCAGTGTAGGTTACATGGTCTTCCTTAGCACTGTTATCATGTAACATAAGGTATTGGTGTTTTGTATTGATGTATGTTCATCAGCTTGTCCTCATCAAGGCTAAACACGCCTTGTATACATACTCCTCTAAATTATATTCACAATCCAGAGGTTGTTGATTCACTCTCCTCACATGGCAGTTGAAACAACGGTGCGAGTTTCTTAAATCCTCACCACCACCTTGCTTCTATCCATCCAGCAGTACGACTGGGTGGACCACAGGTGCTCGTTTGACAGGTCACGTGTAGTGGGGGTAGAGCCCGGGTATACTCCTACCTCTTCCAAGATATCAGACCAGCAGAAGAGTGCAAAAATACACTTTATAGCAGTCCATCATAGAGGTTTTGGGCTAGATCGCGTAAATAAATGTGTCGTTAAACCCGCCACCACCCGACACAGCCAACTAGTAAGGGTTGTCACGTAAACACAACGTGGCCAATTCGTCACTAGTACAGCACACCGGTGTGTTGGAGAGCCAAGCCACAACATTTACAATAGATTGTTCTGTTTACGTGACAACCCTTACTAGTTGGCTGTGTCGGGTGGTGGCGGGTTTAATGACACATTTATACATTTACGCGATCTAACCCAAAAACCTGTTATGGATGATATTGGTCGCGAAAGCCTACGTGTTAAACTGACTCTACAGCAGTGGTTCTCAACATTTTTTGGCTACTGTACCCCTTGGCTCTGAGAAATCAATGTACGAATAATGAACATCAATATTTTAACCAATTGTCCATTTTGTGAGTTATCTTAACTCGATAGGATTTGCAAACCAATTTTTAAAAATTCGACGGAAGCTCTGAATGCATGACGCCATTTGTTTGTGCTCGCGGGTTACTCGTGGAGTAACCACATTTTTCTTAGCTCTTTCGGTAAAGTCACGTTGAAGGGAAACAATAAAATAATAAAATATATTTATTGTTATATATATTTTATTATTTTATTGTTTCCCTTCAACGTGATTTTACCGAAAGAGCTAAGAATATGAATTGCTGCAGTCACGAAAGCTTTAAATCAAAAGTAACCACATTGTTTACGATCAGTGAGTTTAGAAAGGTCCTTTTTATCGTTCGAGGTTACCATACGGATTTACATTTTATAGTAGTTATTTTACATTGGCAGATTCATACGTGATTATTCACCAATGACTCTCATAATATGATGTAGTTTCACCCCCAGGGGTCTGTGTACCCCCGGTTGAGAACCACTGCTCTAGAGGAGCTCTTTAGAGCTCCCTCTAGCAGAGTTTTCTTCCACCACCAGTGGCATGAGCAAGGTTGGAAGACTGCTTATCTATATTTACCTTACCCAGATAGAGTAACAGTGAAATACGCACATTAAGTGATCAAAAGTTAGCCTTAGATGGTAGTGCAGTTAAGAGTTTGTATTATTATACATTTATTTATAAATACTCCCACATCTACGTTCACCGCCTTCACAAACCCCACGCTGACCAGCGTGGTGAAGTATGGTCAAATAACCCCCACGAACCACACTGTGTGGGGGGGGGGGGGGGCGCCCTCATCCGGCAGCGGATTGACAAACGCGCAGCAAGTGAACAGGTACCTGTGTGAGCCAGAGGGATTTTACAACTGCGTCCGCGTATGGTGCCAACGCTATTGCGTTTTTCACTGCGCTGTGACTGGTGCTGGTGTGCGCTGTCGTTCAAGAGGCAGCTGCAAGCGCATGGCGGGGGCAGCGCCCACCTTTGTGTTGGTGAAATACACCTGGCCTTGGTCCTGGTAGGCCACCAGGTTCTGCTCCTCCTGCGTTTTGGTCGGACGCACAAACATCATCCAGTTGCTCGAGTCTTCGTCCGGAGCGTCCAGGAAGAGCAAACCTCTCTCCACGGGCACCTGAGCATCACGCAAACATTACCTTCAACAAACAAAAATCCTCGTCCCTTCATAATACACCTATCGTAATTATTATTCCGCATGTTCACGCAGTAAAACTTGTCTCACAAACTCGTTTTCAGGAGCAGGGGGACAATGACTGTGATGTATAATTCCAATTGAGAAAGTTGCGGGCAAGTTTAAATTCGGCAAATTTACACGTGACACCAGCACACAATGGCATACTCTTGCGAAGAAGACGGCGTGTATTTTTGGTGACTACACACCGCAGTTATAACCAGCACGGCTGCTGGGATCAAACCGGGAACCTCTGTAACAAGCGGCGAACGAGCTACCGCCAGGCAGTGTCACCTACACCATAGCCACGGCTTATTTCCTTACTCGATGTTTTCCCGAACGCTGCTAGGTTATATGTATGTATGTTGAACTTCTTTCGCACCGTGCGTAGCCAACCGTGCTAATCGGTTGGCTTAGAGTAGAGATTATTGACAAAAAGCATTCCAACTGCAGTAACACGTATGCCTATACATAATCATCCGATATTACTATCCTCTATATTCCTATAAAGAGGTCTATATAAACCTATTGATTGAATGTGGTATACAACAATTATTCCTGGAATGTACAGCGTGCTGGACTGTCCTCGCTAAAATTAAGCACTCCCATAACAGGCATGAGCTACACAACGATTTCCGATTAAACAGCTTAATAAAAAAAAAGCCTGCAATGTTGGGCTCAAGATGAATATGAGAAAAAACTCAAGGCATGAACAAAAAGTTTGACAGAAGATGGACTTATGTGATATAGAAGTATGTGGAGCTAATTGAACTTGCCGATGACTGGTACCAGCAGCAGTGTCATGCTCGGCCTCTGGAGAGGAGGCTCGTGAGGTACACTCCTGGGCAGTTAAGAGGCAGTCACCCTCCAAAAACAACAAAGGGCAGAGGGGCGATGCTCACAACAATGAGCAGAGTGCTGGGTGGTTAAAACACGGCAAGTTGGCACAATGGGGAACACAGGTGGCGTATCTAGATACAAGACATCTTAGTGCGTCAACCCATAACACCAGGGTTTATCCCGAGACCTCCTGCGAGCGAGCCTTCGACACTTCAAGTGGACTCAAAGGGCACTAAGTCTGGCACAAGTGCCGTGGTGACTCCACCGCCACTTGGTGGCAAACGAAAGTTATTTCTGTTGTGGTTCTATGATCGCCTGCCAGCGAGCCTTTGTGGGGAGTAGTGGCAAAGTGGTTAGTACCTGGTGTGCCTTAAATCTCATTTCAAGCATTCCAATTACCACCTATAGTTTGAGCCTAGGGGACCCCCTGATGGAAAGCCATCCCTGTGCAGCACAAGGTACACACAGCAGGACAGTTACACCAAGCACAACAATTGCACTGGGTATGGACGGTTAATTGGTCAGGGTGGATATGTGACACTTGTATTAATTTCTCACTTTAATTCTTTCACTCGTTTCTTCAAAACTGCTTTTTGTTGTGTTTAGTTTGTTGTCCTTCCCCCACGCCTCCTATTAGCACGGTTGGCTACGTACGGTACGAAATAAGTTCAACATACATAGATTCGCGACGTTGTCCTGTATCGTGAATGGCGTGGTATGCCACTGATCCGTACTATAGTGTTAACCGAACATCGAGCCTGACACTAATCGTACCTTATTCCAATCACTCAAACACTGAACATCTGTGAAAAAGAGCTCCATAGATCATCGGATTTCTCCAGGATAAATAAAGATTCTGATTCAATGGCGTTCGACGCCGCGGTGCAATCACGAACAACTGCCGATGCGGTACGTGAATGCATGTCGAGATAATGAAAGATCTTGATTTGTACATGTCTCAAAAACCTCCAGGGTTACTTCTCGGCAAGGTAGAAAGATGAAATTTTAGTACATAGGTAGCTTTTGGGACACAAACAACAGGAACAATCGAAAATCCGAGATTTTTCTTATTAAGGCCCACAAATCTCGATTTTAAGTGCCCCATAAACATATTTGTGCATATTCTTGGTTCTTTCGGTAAAGTCACATAGAAGGGAAACAATAAAATAATAAAAATATAAAACAACGTTTCGACTGCAACACAAGCAATCATCATTAGGTGTGAAAACCACAGCAATCGTCATCAGGTGTGAAAACCACACCAAGTGGTTTTCACACCTGATACGATTGCTGATGATTGCTTGTATTGCAGTCGAAACGTCGTGAGAATTTTATTGTTTTATATTTTTATTATTTTATTGTTTCCCTTCTACGTGACTTTACCTAAAGAACCAAGAATATGAATCCCTGCAGTCACGAAAGCTTTAAATAAAAATGTTTGTGCATGTCATTCAGAAACCGTTCAAAAGATAAGATTGCAGGTATGTTTGTTCGATAGATTGTTAAACAGCAAATACAATTAAAGCGAAAACCAGTTTTCTATCTTTTATTGTTTGAGATATTTTGACCGGAAAAATACGCATTTTATGATATTCAAATCTGAATAAATCAAAAACAGAAAAAGAAAGGCGCTTCCCCTCATAGGGTATTAAGTTAATACACGTGTGTTTTTTTTATTTAAAGCTTTCGTGACTCCAAGGATTCATATTCTTGGTTCTTTCGGTAAAGTCACGTAGAAGGGAAACAATAAAATAATACAAATATAAAACAATAAAATTCTCACGACGTTTCAACTGCAACACAAGCAATCATCATCAGGTGTGAAAACCACAACAAGAAATTTTTAAAAAAGTGGCGGTTATTTTTAACGTTAGCACCAAGGAGAGAGATTTGACAGTTTGTTCAGATGGACGAGTCCATCTATGTTCGGAAAAGAGGAGGGGTGAGACGAAAAATAATGGATGCGGTCTGAAAGCCACCTTAAGCGTGATCAATCAATTAAGACCCGAAATGGTTTATCAAATCCTTCCAATGATTGCTAAGCCATCTGGCTACCATGAGAGATTCGTTCATGAGGCTATCCACATATACAAACACAGAGACAATTTCAACCGAGAAGATGGATTCTGGCTTAGCAATCATTGGAAGGATTTGATAAACTATTTCGGGTCTTAATTGATTGATCACACTTAAGGTGGCTTTCAGACCGCATCCATTATTTTTCGTCTCCCCCCTCCTATTTTCCGAACATAGATGGACTCATCGATCTGAACAAACTGTCAAGTCTCTCCGTGGTGCTAATGTTAAAAATAACCGCCACTTTTTTCAAATTTTCTTGTTGTGGTTTTCACACCTAATGATGATTGCTTGTGTTGCAGTCGAAACGTCGTGAGAATTTAATTGTTTTATATTTTTATTGTTTCCCTTCTACGTGACTTTACCGAAAGAACCAAGAATATGTGTGTTCTTACCAATAAAAAAGAACGGAAGGTTAAAATTGAGCGGTTTCCGATGGTTACGTCTGTAGGGGCGTAAATGGGCTATGGGGTGTCCTGGGATCCCCCGAGGCCCTTCCCAGGGGGAGGGGGCTGTGGGGTGTCCTGGGATCCCCCGGGACCCGCCCCTCGGTTGGGAGGTGGATAAAAGGCGGACGTCTCTACAGGCTGGGGACCAGTTGAAGACAGAAGCCGAAGACCAGCTAGATAGACCCTGAGACCCCTAGCCCCACTGTCCTTATCAGGGCCAGGACTCTGTGCGGCTCAGTGGTGAGACCCTGGGAACCCCTGGCCCGACGTCCTTGTAAGGGCCGGGTCCAGTGGGTCAGTGGTCGGAACTCGCACCCTGGCTAGGGCGAGTTAGAATAGCCTCCCCCTAGGCACCCGTAGCCGGAGGACCCTGAGTGTAGTCCTGTGTTAGGGCACGTTAGCCCGGAGGCAGTACCCTCACTAGACAGTAGCTGTAGGAGGACCCTGAGTGTAGTCCTGTGTTAGGGCACGTTAGCCCGGAAGCAGTACCCTCCCCAGGCAGTGGTGTAGGAGTACCCTGAGTGTAGTCCTGTGTTAGGGCACGTTAGCCCGGAGGCAGTACCTCCCTAGACAGTGGTGTAGGAGGACCATGAGTGTAGCCCTGTGTTAGGGCACGTTAGCCCGGAGGCAGTACCTCCCTAGACAATGGTGTAGGAGGACCCTGAGTGTAGCCCTGTGTTAGGGCACGTTAGCCCGGAGGCAGTACCTCCCTAGACAGTGGTGTAGGAGGACCCTGAGTGTAGCCCTGTGTTAGGGCACGTTAGCCCGGAGGCAGTACCTCCCCAGACAGTAGGTGAAGGAGGACAGTAACCCTGAGTGTTCTGGGACTGTACTGCTGAGCGTGGTGGTTTAATAAAGTGTTGCCTCCAAGAACCGTCTCCGATGTCTCCCGAATACACAACACTACACGTCTTTGAGTTGAATCAAATCGTCAACATTTTTTGCAGAAAAATACAAATTTTTGAGTAGTTGTTTGTGTCTGATCGTAGATAAAATAAAAATTCTAACAAAAATCATAGGTTAATTATATTTATTGAAAACGATTGCCTGGCAAAGACAGGCTTTAAAAACTAGTATGTATATAGTATTGTAAAACTAAATGTGCATAGCCAGCTTCACCTGGAGCACAATCTTAGTTTTTGTCTCAGTTAGTTGGGGTGGAGGACAGGCAACCAACATACCGCCCAAACTGTGCACACTTTTGGATACATTTCTTGGAAAACACTCGGAGGGCTGCAGAGCAACACAAAGTAACTCAGCCTTGACAGAGACGCACAACACTGTCACTAACAACCCACAAGCACTTGCCAGCCACAACACCTAAATGTGTTAGGCAACACATAAACAGTTTTTCGTTTATGCAACAATGTTTAAAAAAAAATCTATTTTATAGCGAATAGCTCTTAATAGGTGCCTGCGACAACGTTTATTTTTAATCTAATTACATATCTATTACGAAGGTTATTTCCGTGTATATGCAAACTTGTGAATTAAACAAGAGACCTTTTGTGGTTTTTCAATTATTCCATGTGGTTAACCTGCAATTGAAAATGGTCCACAGTCGCCTATCAATGTGAAGGTTACAATGAGACCTTTAACTCCCCCGTGCAATGTGGGCAGTCATGTGTAGGAACACACGCTTTGTGATACCATGACCCCGGTCGCACAATAGGGGCACAGAAGGAGGAGGAGGTTTGAACTGATGAACCATGCACCGCTTTGGAGCCACAACACGACTCCTTATATTTGAAACTAAACTAAAAACTTTTTTTTTATTTTAGCAGGTAAGGCCCACAGAGGCGACCTGGCTATCACAAATGACAGCTCAACGAAGTGGCTTATGTGGAAATGTATAGCAGCCAAATACTCTAAACGCACGTTGATTCCAAATGTGGAGGGAAAAACCGGAGGACCCGGAGAAAAATCCACGCGACCACGGGGAGAGAGACATGCAAACTTCAAATATACAGGCGTAAGTGTCCGGATCGAACCCACGACCTCCTGGATACCAGGTAAGTGCGTTAAGATCTCGCCACCGCGATGTGAGGTTATCACTGGGGGACAGAAAGATGGCATGGTACAATAATCTGAATATAGCTGCAAGTAAAAAAGGTAAAAGGCCAAAGGCTACAACTATTAGCCAGACAAAAGGAACTTTAGTCAGCTGATTAAAATTTTACATCACGAACCTTGACATAGAAACAGTCGAACATAGTAACAGTCGAACGATGCTCAAGTGAGGTCCATCTTCGACGAATATTCCATCTCAATTGGAGTTTAACGTCGAGTGTGAAACCCCGCTTGAACGTCAGGAGCGTGCAGCGGTCGAACCAGATGGGATTCTGGTTCTCAGCTCCAGCTCTCGTGCTAAAGGGCATGGCTTCGCTCTCCTCTGTCCTTCACTCCACGGCAGGCTATCCAGCCCTGCACTCCCCACAAATAGGTGTCTCGTTCTCACACACCACCGCACGTCCCTTGTCCATGTACGCCACACGTTGAGGATGGACACACAAGACACAAACATGCCTCCTCCGCAGGGATTCATTTCTCGCTGAATATTTTCCGGTTTCGCTGGTAGACTGGAGTAAGTGGCATGTGACTATGTGCCGCATCCATAGGAATAGGTATACTGGAAGTGGAGTGTCAGGTGCAGAAATGTCACAGGTCATGGACCCGAACAGACCCGACAGAAATGTGGCCCTTCGTGTGCGCTTGCGCAAGCACACACACATGCGGTGCGAGTGTTCAACTCATGACCAATCTGTTTTGCACCACCAAATATAGGTGTGTGTGCAGTCAGGCGTTCCACCTGAACATGTGAGACTTCAGTATGATGACAAGTATGACTAAATTATAATTAATACTTGAGAAAAACTTGCTTTAGATAAAAAAAAATTGCCACACCTTCAATATTTGTAAACTTTAAGTAAAAAAAGAAACCCATCTCTAAAAGAGCATACACATGTTCGATTTCAATATGTAATTTAAGTCATCCAACAAATATTTTCTTAAATATGAATCACGTTATGAGCACAGGAAACGCAATTCAGAGTCATCGTCACCACCTTCCAAATTCCCAACCTCTCGCATTATTGCCAAACGATGCGTAATCACGAATCGCGTTCCGCGAGCAGGAATAGGCCCAGGAAATGCCTCATCTCCTCCAGACCTCCACCGCTGGGCCCAATTACCACTTCCGAAAGCAGTCAGCCCAGCCTCTTACAATAAACAGCGCACTGGCATGAGATAATGCCCGCCGTTTGGACTCCTTTTGTACTGGGTACAACTCGCATTCTTGGGTAATGACACGTAGATGGGTTTAGTTGCTGTCTAGGAACTGTGGGTCACTTGAACTATTGCCAAGGCAGGAATCATGGCTGTCACAAAAACACTATTAATAGCACTTTTGTCGTCACCTATTTATACACATGCGCAGCAAAGGCCAGTCAACAACATGTCGGATGCCCAAAAACAGGCTTTACACTTACATATGCCCCCCGTGGTCAGAATTTATCAGCATTGTCAATGATTATTTATACCACATCTACCATGCAGTACATCTCGAGGCACGAGAACAAATTGGTATTTGAAATGATGACTCAGTAAGCAAGTGATTTCAGACCAAATACTATGTTAAAAAATATGACATAAGCAGTGTACCCCAACGATCGAGACTAAACGAAAT